CCCAGGGCGCTGGCCATGCAGCCGTGGATAAGCGGAACACATATGCATTTATGCGATGCAGCGCGCTGGTTGCATCGGATCAAAATGACTTGTGCACTACACGCAGCGTTCCCTACGGGCTGAGGGCGCCGGCCCGATTTGCATGTCCGCTACAGTATCTACCTATCTATCTATCAATCAATCAATCTATCTATCTATCTATCTCTCTATTCATCCATTTATCTATCTATCTATTCGCTCCTGCTCTTGTAGCACTTGAGCACTCTTGCGTGGGGTAGTGCCTTTGCTGTTTGCGTTATGCAGAGCTCACTGAATTGTCAGTTTGAGCACTCTGGCAAGGTACGTTCGGGCCTGATTGGAATTTTTTATTTCCATTGCTATCAGGTTCGGCCTCATTTCCTCTGTGCTGCGCTGACGAGTCCACAAAGGACGAAACAGTTCTGTCCGCAGATTGAGTATCTATCTATCTATCTTTCTATCTATCTATCTATCTATCTATCTATCTACCTATCTATCTATCAATCTATCAATCTATCTATCTATCTATCTAGACAGTCGTCTAAAGTCCAAGTAATACAAATATTACACAGCAATGAATCAAACAAGTCTCTTTCCGCTGGTACTCCGAGTTTCGTGTGAAAACACTTCATGAGACAGCATGACCAAGACTAACAATCACTAGAATATATACGGAGGGTCTTGAGAGGAGAGGGCAGAGGTGATGGGGGTACATTTCAAAGTTTATCAAAATTTTGTTCAGGATTTTCTTTTATCTTCATTGATTGGTGCTTCACCATTGGGTCATATGGATCCCGGTGCTGTGCTTCATGCCTCCTTTCAAGCTTTCTTTTCTGATTTGGGAGTGAATAAAGTCGTCATAATAATAATAATTTGGAAAGGATTGGGAGAACTTCAAATTCAAATGATCAGCCGGCCGGGAAGTGAACTGCCTGAAAAGAGAAAAAACGCCAGACCCAGCCTGGTCCCATAGCTCAGTGGTTAGAGCATTGCTCATGACAAGCAGGGTCCCAGGTTCGAGTCCTGGTGGGTCTGGCGTTTTTTCTCTTTTCAGGCAGTTCACTTCCCCGACTGATCATTTGAATAATAATAATAATAATAATAATAATGATATTAACTGGTTTGAGGGAAAGAGACAAACGGGAAAAGTCTGAAGAAAAAATTGACTGTCACCACCAGGACTCGAACCAGGGACCCTCGCTTGTAGCCAGCGATGCTCTAACCACTGAGCTATGGTGTAGTCGTCACCCCAGCAGAGACCGTTCAACGTTTTCTTCAGACTTCGTATATATAATAATGATAATAATACTTGTGAAAAGAAGAAGGTCAAAATGTTACGAGTTATGACTAACTGTCCACCAACGTAACCAGATCTTATACAGTCAACGAGTGCGACCAAATTCTTCCTTTTCACAATAATTTAATTGGCTCACCATCCGAGTTAAATTAAGTATACAATAAATGAGGAGGCCGAGGCTTTATGACCAATAATAACTATTATAAAAACCGAGGTCCCCCGAGGTTTTTATAATTAGTTTTTATTGGTCATAAACCCAAGGCCTCCTCATTTATTGTATTTAGCATCAACCAGTAAAAAGTACTACTCAATCTCCAACAACAAAATTTGTGGACAGCTGTTATTTGTGTTTTTATTTATTTATTTATTCAACATCTCCTGGCCCGTCCGAAGACTGCCAATAAACATGAGAGGTCAGGTGATAGCCAACCACGGCAAGCTAAAAGGGGAAAAAAAAAGAAAAAAAAGAAAGATGCTGTCAGAGAGGGAAAGGAGATAGGGAGAGAAAAAGAAAGGGAGGCACATTAATAATACATGGGATCACTTCGGATGAGACAGTGTGGAAAGCTGGACTGTGAATTTCCTGATATCCTGGCATGTCTTAATGCTAGTAGGCAGGTTAGACCAAAGGGAGTATGCTGAGAAGAAAGGGGATTTCAAAAACAGAGAGGAACTAGCTCGGGGCAGTGATAAGACATTGCGTGTTGGTCTAGTGGTAACGTTTTTTTATGACAACTCGTGTGCTGGACGACCAAAATTTGTTGTCATTGGTTTAATTTCTTTTACTTTTCATAGGCTATCAGATCATTTTCCTTATTCGGTCTATTTATACCCAGTATCTCAGAGTTACAGAAGAAACGCTTTTCGTCCCTCTCAAGTCTGTGTAACCAGTATCTATACGAGATTGTGGTCTGTCTCCATGGTTACCGGTGTTCTTTTCATAACTTTAGCCACTTCCCCTTGTTAGACCTTATCTGGACGGCCCATTCTTGAATACTCCAACAGCAGCCAAGGGAGCTAGCTCTCTTGGTTATGCGGACTGGGTCCGATCCTAAAAAGCTGTTTTTATAAACCGTTTTGATGAACTGTTTTTATTGGATAGGATATGATCATGTTGAATAAACGAGGTTTGTGTCAATTGGAGATTGACTTGGAGTTTTTACAAGTTGATTCTAAATAATAATAATCATAATAACACAGATACGCGTACAACATGCACAGCCGTGCTATACATGCTTCCGCTGCTGTTCTCTAGCTCTGTCCAACACATGTACATGTTTGTCAATATCTGGCAGTTGTGGCGACTTCTTCAGATTATCTGCCGCCATCCATTGCGATCCGCAGCAAACTGTCTTAGGTCGTCCAGATGGCTTCGGCTCGAGAGGCCCGGCTTGCCTTTGCTGAGCAGGTCGTGGCTCAGGGTGCCGCCCAGCGACGATCTGGGCCAGCCCTTGTACCCACGTTGCTGTGGAGTGATACCTAAATCTGATAGCTATGCAAACCCGAACCTGATAGCTATGAAAAATATATGTGCCAAAAACAGATTTAAACCAGGCCCGAAAGTACCTTTGTCGGAGTGCTCAAACTGACAAGTCAGTGAGCGCTGCATAACGCAAAGAACAAGGGCACTACCCCACATGAGAGAGTTCAACTGCTACAAGAGCAGGAGCGAAGTACTCAATCTGCGGACAGAAATGTCTCGTCCTTTGTGGACTCAACGAGAGAGCTTGGAAGCTCAGGGCCCTACGCTATGCCTTTATGCTTTTTTGCCTAGCTCATCGTACATGTTATTCGAACTGATGGAAATGTTTTTTCCGCTGATTGGCCACATTATTGTATTGCAAAAACGTTTCAATCAGTTTGAATAATGTATTAGGCAAAAGTAATTTTGCAGCATTTATTGCAGATTGCTATTTTTTAATTTCATCCACTTTCGGTTTGCTCCTCCTTTTCTTTTAATCTCCTTATACTGTAAATCAACAAAATTTTAATTTATTTTTGTCCGATGAGAAACTTTGGCCGATCTCGAAACGAAACTTTTCGCCGTATTACGGAGGATTAGCAAGACGAAATACGCGTACGCGTTCGCAAACATTTTTCAGTTCGCGAACTGGATTGCGAACATTCGCATTTTTGGTTCGGAAAAGTAGTCGAAACATGAATCGCGGATTCGTGCCAGGGCAGTCATAAATTTACCACGCTGTACTGTCTGTACACAATGTACGTCGTGTCAACGTATTGCATGTGCGAATTCTGTTTGCTAATCCTTCTCCTAACGCGAATTCCGTCACTGAGTTCGACTTTCCTTGGAGAGCGAACGCGAACGCGAATTTCGTCTTGCTAATCCTCCGTATTAAACTTTGGCCTATTGGAGTTTTCAAAAAGAAATCGATCGGTATTTTTTGCTCTCACATGCATCCATTGCTCAATTATGAATCATTAGCCTCTATGACAAACTTTGGCCTGCGTTTACTTTGGCCGGTTGGTACCAAGCGGCGAAATCAGCCAAATAAAATCGCCAGCGAAAATTATTTAAAATCTTGTAGGACGCATCCCGCAGCTTAATAAGTAAAAAAATGGTTGTGAGCAACACTGGCTCACACTCATATGACTGCTTTTCACCAGAAAAATATTACAATTAATTAGTTGATTTTTATACACAAGAGAGAGTTTGGAAGCTTTGTCACAACTCCGAGTTTCACGTATCTCTACGATCATCAGGCAACTGATGGATCAAAAACGGGCAGCCAGAACATAAGGGGGAGCAAGGTGGGAAATTCCGAGGGGTGTCATAGGCGACGCGTATCAAAGCGCAAGAGTCAGGTGCAGGCGTGAATTTGCCAAGTCTTCAGACTTGGGGCTATGCAGCAGTAGTTCCGGCATGAATGATATAGAATAGAGCTGGGGGCAAATGCCAAATCCACACATGCCCACACCACAACACAAACATACACCCACACTCTCTCCCTTTTCTCACATACACATACACTCACACGCGCGTCCGCACACACATTCTCGAAATCTCTCTCTCTCTCTCTCTCACACACACACACACACATTCATTCTCTATATCTCACACATGCACATGCACACACACATTCATTCTCTATATCACACACACACACACACACACACACACACACACACACACACACGCATCCTCCAAATCTCACACACACATTCTCTAAATCTTACATACACACACACACATTCTCCAAATCTCACACAAACATTCTGTCTCTCTCTCTCTCTCTCACACACACACACATACACACACACGGCCACAATACTCATCCTTTCATTCTCACACCTACCGCACACATACTTGCACCCGCACTTATCCAATCACCCACACGCACTCTCTTTCTCACGAATGCACACAAACACACACACACACACATGCGCGCTCGCACTCACACACACTCACACACACACACACACACACACACACACACACACACACACACACACACTTGGCAGCGGGACTACCAGCTAGATTCACTTGACCTTGCGCGCAAAGTTACAGAGGTAGAACTTGTTTTCATGACGGCACGTGGACACAAGCTCTGACCTCTTGTTGAGGGAGCGGGTCTTGTCGGCCCAGGCAATCTCCAGCTTCTCGGCCAGACACAGGTTGCAGCGCTTCGAGATGTTAGAGTATGGTGCGGCTCTCCTCACAACGGACCTCCTGATACTGTAAGGTTTGTTTTCATCCTTCAGTCTCCAGATGTGTCTGGACAGTCTCGTTGAGGTCTCGTGCTTCTTGTGGCGAATAGTATGTTGATGACCATTGAATCGTGTCTTGAATGTCCCTTCGGTTAATCCAGTGTACTCCTTCATGTCGCTGTCGGTTACATGTGCCCTGTACACAATGCTCGATGCTAGACAGTTTCCTTCCAAGGGGCAATCATTTTTGACACGGCAGTTGCAGGTTCTCACATCCTTGGTCTTATTCTGGTGGTCGCTGCGGAGGATACTATTGTTGTGTTGCTTGATGATGGTGGCGACATTTGGCATGCAACTGTAACTGAACTTTAGCGTGTTCCGGTTAAATATCTTGTATAATTTGCAACCCTTGTGGAAGTGCTTGCTGACGAGTTGCAGGAATCGCTGACCGATGTTCGTGGACACATTCTTACTGAACGGTGGGTTAAACCATGTGATATTCCGGTGTCTCTTCCTTAGTCTCTTCCTTTTCCCACTCTTCCGTTCCTCCAAGAACTGGACGGTCTCATTGTACCCGCTGTCTCTGAGCGCATTGTTGTACATTTGAGATGCGTCCTGGAATGTCTCCTCATCCGTTGATATGTCCGTTAGTCGTCGGCTGATGGAAGAGGGCAAGTTCTGGATGATAATTGGTGGGTGGTTGGATTTGTGATGGACATACAGTGGCCGGTCGTTGGGTTTCCGATATGGACGGTATTTGCCAGTGCGTAGGTTCAGCGTGATGTCTAGGAAGTCGACTGATTTCAGGTTTGCCTGGATGGTAATTTTTAGTCCTAGGCTGTTGAAAACTTTGGTCATGTCCTTTCTGATCCTGTCCACTTCCGGTCCCGATACGTTCCGGAACACTGCCAGCCCATCGTCGCGGTATGATTTTAATACAGTAATCGGGTTTTCTGGCCTTTTTGTAGTAATACATTGACCTGTTGAGCCAATGAGGTAGGCCGAATCCATTGTTGCCTGTGGATCACATTACATAACTTTACAGTCTCCTAAATTACGTATCCTGTCAGACGGCAAAAGAGACTGCAGATTTAGTTTTCTGCGCGTCGACGGGATGTCTGTCCTGACGTTCTCTGGGACCGGCGCTAACTCTGCCGATCACGGGCGTTCTGGAGTCGACGGGATGTCTGTCCTGACGTTTCCTGGTACCGGCGGAGACTCTGCCGATCACGGGCGTTCTGGAGTCGACGAGATCTTTCTTCCGACGTTTCCTGTGACCGGCGCTGAATCGCCCGTTCACGCTTATTTTGGAGACGACGGGATCTGTTGCATCCCATCATCTATTCGGCAACTAACGTCCATTCTAAATTCATTTTCTCCTCGTCTCCCTATTTTTTTCCAAATCTCCCTCTACACCAGGGAGTCGTATACAGAGTCAGACGAATATTGTGGCCAGCTGTTTGTACGGGACGGTACCGGACAGATACGGGAGCCAGTATATATTGTGGCCAGCTGTTATGTACAATCCTGTAGAGTCTTTGTAGTAGTATTCTTTTATTTTCCATCGGAAGCCTCAACAGTGATGAACGCAACTCTTAAGAGGGCTGATAACAGAGTAGAGGGGTGTGGGGTGAGAACAAATAATAATAAGGGATATTTAAACTAAACTAAACTGATACTTGGAACAATAAAGCAGCAGTAAGCATTGTAGTCACAGATACGGGACAGATACGGGACAGATACGGGATAGCTCCAGGCGTGACACAAACACACAAACAAACAAACACCAAATTAAAGCTGTGTGGACCCTGGCTAGCGCCAGGCGTTACTGAAGTAACGTCTTCTGCAAAGTTACGGGAATAAATGAGAAAATGAGGCCGAACCTCTCTGTCTGTACAAATGTGCATGTACATGTGCATGCAAGTTTTTGAGCTCCGCCTTTCCGGTGCTTTCCAAGATCATCTTCAGTCGTTTTGCATACCATGAGTGAGACCATGAGTGAGAATGAAGAAGTAGACCTTGCTACAATGTCATATGACAATATCCGTGACCTTGCAAGATCCAAGAAGGTGCTCCAAGAAGGTCAATCGAAGCTGAGCCGACAAGAACTTGTGGCGATCCTGCGGACTAATGGAATCGGGACCAACGCAAGCTCTGCCCCAGTAAGTTGTGCTAGCTGTATTTCACTGCATGACTCCCTAGCAAACTTTACAAAGGCCCTTGAAGGCATGGTTATGAAGATGGCTGGTTTCATGGAGATGAAGTCCACCATCGAGCACATACAGCAGGAAATTGCAACGATGAAAAACGAAGGGCAGCAGGAGGGCGCGAAGACGCAAAGCACAGCTAACGTTAGGAACCGTCAGTACGCTACCGTAGCGCAGTCTGCTCCAGCCCCAGCCTGTGAACCCAAACCGTACTCCCACAAACATGTACAGCATCAGTCTATGCAAACTGCCACCGACACCCAGCAGACCAAGCAAACCGACAAACCCGCTCGTATGAGTACTGGCAGCACTGAAGATTCGAACTCGTCCTGGCAAACCCAAGGTCCACGACGCCCAAACCGCCCACGTGCATCAGGTGGGTCATCTTCACATCCCGGCACGAGTGTTACTGGCAGTACTGAACTACATGTACGTTCATCTGTCACATCGAAGTATGTGAAGGAGGTGACTGTAACAGCAGCCCCAGGTGTTCTAAGTGGAGTAGAACGCAAGCGCCTTGCAGTGCTGCATGTAGGAAATGTTGAAGTTGGCTGTGAGGCGCAATCTATTGTCAGGTACTGTGCAGATCGTAACATTGACATCATCCGCTGTTCAATTGCCACAAATAGTTATTTCGGCACAGCATACGCAAAAGTTACCATTCCGGCTGATGTCCTCAACACCGTACTCACGCCTGCGTTTTGGCCTGCCACCATCGGCCACACAGTCAGAAAGTGGCGCTTCCATGACGAGGCGTCCATGCCGACGAAGGAACAAAGTACTGAAGATTAACCATGGCTAGTAGTAGTAAAATGAACCCAGGCGCAACCCCGTTCTACCCTGGATGTATACGGACACTGTCCTTGAATATTTGCAGTCTACGTAATAAACTTACTGACTTGTCCCAATTGATATCGGACACAAAAACTGACATTGCTGCTGTATGTGAAACGTGGCTTAACAACTCCGTTCCGTCGATGGAGATGTCAATCGCAAACTATACTTTATTTCGGCTTGACAGGCGCGACAAACCCGGAGGTGGTGTATGTTTGTACGTTTATAACTCACTGTTTAGTCACCTACGTCCCGACTTAACAGCCGATGGCGTTGAATGCATTTGGGTAGAGATCAAAGCTCACCCACAACCTCTTCTTGTCGGGTGTATTTACCGCCCACCGAGTCAGTCACTAGCTTACTGGCAGACTTTCGAGGCCATGTTACACAAGGCATCGGGAGAAGCCAAGAATATTCTGCTTTGTGGTGACTTTAATGTTGATCTGGTCAGTCAATCTCCCACATCCCAGCATGCTTCCTTGCATGACATCACAACCAGCTTAGGCCTGCATCGACTTGTAAAATCTCCAACACGCATAACGCTGCAAGGGAGCTGCACTCTATTAGATCATGTCTATAGTACAGCTCAAATCATATCCCCGCCTGATGTGTGTCCAGTTCCGTTCACCGACCACTGTGCTATTGCAACCAAGATTTGTGTTAAACCAGTGCCGACAGCATTGCCTTCTCAGCGACTTTATCGAAACTTCAAGAGAATGGACTTGGCATCACTTCGTATGGATATATCTTGCGCCAACCTCTGTGAACTTCGTTGGTCCTGCGATGACATGTGGCAACAGTGGCTGACTAAGGTTGTACCCATTCTTGATACACATGCTCCATTGCGCCACGCGTCTTCCCGACCAAGACAGCATTCACCATGGGTCAATGAACATTAGTTCCTGTTGATACGACGACGTAACCGCGCTCATCGGAAATGGCTGCAATCTAAGTGCCAGACTGATTACGATGCGTGTAAAGAAGCCAGGCGTATCGTGACTCGTATGAACCGTGAATTGAAGACGAATATTTTTTCAGTCTAAGTTCACCAGTGTTCAAGGTAATCCCAGGAAAACGTGGAAGGTTTTGAACGAGTTATCCGGAAGACCACGTGTTCAATCCGTTCCACAATGCTCTGCAAGCAACATTGGGTGTGTATTTGCTGATGTTTTCAGTGATCAACAACGAGCACCTGAACTGTGTCTTCCACAGGGCCCAGTGGGACCTAAGGGTCTTACATCCTTCAGTTCGGTGTCAATAGGCTGTGTGCGTAAACTGTTGGGTTCCTTGGACACCAGCAAAGCGACAGGCAGTGATGGAATACCCGCATTTCTTCTGAAGTCCTGCGCTGATTTGCTAGCTCCTTCCTTAACATTGATACTTAATGCGTCTCTTGCTGTTGGTTCTGTGCCGGACGGCATGAAGTTGGCACATGTCACGCCGGTATTCAAGGCTGGAAATCCTCAAGATCAGGGAAATTATCGCCCTGTGTCTCTCCTGCCAATTGTGTCGAAGCTGTTAGAACGAATTGTCCATAGACAACTATCCTCATTTCTGGACAAGGAGAATTTGTACCCTCCCTGTCAGTTTGGCTTTAGACGTCAACATTCAACGGAAGACGCTCTAGTTTTCGTCACGGACACGTTTGTTCGCGCTCGCGATGCCGGACAAATTACTGGTGCTGTGCTCGTGGATATGTCCAAAGCATTTGACAAGGTCAGGCACCAAGTGCTCATTAATGATTTGTTTGAGCTTGGCATATCTGGTTCAGCATTAGTTTGGTTTGCCGACTATTTGTCCAATCGTCGCCAAATAGTGCACATTGCTGAGAACTATAGCCCTCCTTTCCCCTGCATTTGTGGCGTTCCCCAGGGCTCTGTTCTTGGTCCGCTGCTTTTTGTACTCTATGTTCGTTCGATCCAGTCCATTATCTCCGAGTTTTGTGTGAAAGTTATTCAATTTGCTGACGATATTCTATTGTATGTTTGCGGTACGCAGAAGAATGCGCTTAGCAACTCCCTGTCTGCAGCTGTCTCAGCCATTAGTACCTGGCTGTCAAACCGCAATTTAATTCCAAATGCTCGGAAGACACAAGTGCTCTTCCTGTCTACGCCACATATTACTGACCACCAATTTGCAGTCTACTGCCATGGAGTGCAGCTCAAGCAAGTGACATGTGCAAAGTACCTTGGAATACATTTGGACCAGGATCTTTCTTGGAGCACTCAAGTTGATTCTTTGGTCTCCAAACTAGCCAGTAAAATTGGTATTCTGTTCCGAAATCGACACAATATTCCGCTGACTTGCCGAGAAACCTTCGTAAAGTGCCTAGTGTTGCCAGATTTTCTATATGCATCAAATTGTTTTTCTGCTGGCCTTTCCTTAACCCAGTTAGGTAGGCTTGAACGAATGCTAAAGCGAGCTTTGCGTTCAGTGTACGATACTGGTTTTTGTAGCCCATCAAGCCCTTTATTTGCGAGACTTGGTCTAGATCGTTTGGCAACCATGTATTGCAAGAAATTACTGTATCTGACGTGGCGCTGTTTGGAAGGCCGCTGTAGTGTCACATTAAGTCAAATGTTCGAGCGTTTAAATAATGGTCTTGCAACGCGCAGCCTTGTATCACGCACTCTTAAGTTGCCCATGCTCAGAACTGCCTTTGTCCGTCATGGCGCTTCCTTCCAATGTGCTAAGCTGTGGAATGATTTGCACCCTCTAGCTCGCTGTGTGGATAACTCCGCCCGTTTTAAGAAACTGTTACCCCAATGCCTTGCTTTTTCACGCTAGTAATTATGACTTTCAGCTATGCACAATGCGAACATGATCACCTATCCAATACCGGTAGTCTATTATTATATTAATTATTCATATCTTTTTGCATCTTTCCATCGAGTGGGTCTATTGTTATTAGGCAATTGTCTGTTATAGTCACCACTATAAATAAAAATCCAATCCAATCCAATCCAACCTGATAGCCATGAACAATAATCTAACTATGTATTATTTTTGTAAGTTTGAAGGCAACTTTCATGCAATGATCCTTTCCTTTCTCCGTCATTTTCTTCACCACTGCCACTGTAGTAGTTGTAGTAGAATTTATTATTTTACTAGGGAACTCCCAACATGCTTTATCTTTTTACTGGGAACCCTAGGCACAGCATTTCTAAGCTACACGTACGTGCAAAGCAGTATCATGGAAACTAAGAATGGCCGTGATGTGACGGCGGTGAGGTGCGGTGTGGTGAGTGGGTTGATGGTGTGCATGCCCATGGGCATTTCGCGTTGCTACTTGCTATGCTGTGGTCTGCCAATGTCGCACCTGGCTTCCAGCACTCTCATGTCTCAACCATTAGCGGTCCTTTACATCATCCACAGGTTAGTGTTTCACAACGTTTTGCACTTGATATTCTTGCTTAGCCACAATCTTCGCGCCTCTTGCGCGCTGGGATTATGCTTACCCCTTTGGGTACTAAAGTGTTATTTTCACTGTCGTTAATAGCCATTCTATGATATGCGCCTTCACTGATGAGAGTTATAATTATACTCGGAAAATCGGCATGAAGGAATTCAGTACCAACGGACGTGCAGATTTGCTGATTGTGTGCTTGGGCTAGGTGTTGAGGTCGGCTGGAGAGTGCAGTGCTTGAGTGGCTGTTGATGAAAAATCTGTACATGGCCAAGTGTTGCTGCTTTTTCTATTTTTTGTCAGAGCGTAGAGGATTCACTTGCCAAGGCAATAAGGCATTCACTATCTCTGCCTCCTTCCGTCTCATATTTGGAATTCTTCACACTCTCATAATACTCTTATAATTTAGTATGTTGAAGTGGTTTTGACATGTAGCAAGGCATCATGATTGCTCATGCCACTATTTCTTGGATGGAATGGTGCCTGGTTCAAGGCCTCGTGGTCTCCGCGTCACAATTGGTTCACCTACATCAATGAATGGACCAAATAATCTTACAATTCCCTCGCTCTCTCTCGTTGCTGCTGATAGTGATAGGTATAGACAGCTTGTTTACCAGAGTACAGTAGTCTGTTTTCAGGAGTGCAAGAAAGGACTCGAATAGAGAGCCAAGGATACATTTATGGGAAAGAAAAAATAGCAAGGAACTACAAGTCACGCTATAATGTCCACTAACACCACCAGTTACTTAATAAACAGCTCATGCGATAACATTGCACGACACCTAAAGACGGTACTGACGTTCTACAACTAACTGGCTAACAGTTATCACGTGATCTGATTGTTTAGTAACTTGAGGTGTTAGTGGACATTATAGTGTAACTTGTAGTTCCTTGGTCGTTTTCCTTTCTTTAAGTTAGGTTTTTCTTCTTCTTTCCTGTTCTTGTGATTCTACTACCGGGTTTCCCCTTCATTCTAACTCAAGTGCAGTTTAGCGTGTATTGGCTTGTGATTTCCTTTCTTCTGTTTGCTTGGCATTTTATCGCTCCACAGGTACCCTCAGTCTCAGGTGCTCTCACATTTGTGCAATTGTTGATTTTGGTCCTGAATTGTCCTCCCTGTTGCTTTGCTACCGTCCTCCTCCTTCCTCCACCTTTTTTTTTCTTAATTGGCCTCATTATGGCATTCGCTTCCATGTAATTGGGCTTGTAGCCCGTGTGTACTTGCGAATTCAAATAAAAATATACATACATACATACATACTGCCTAATGATACACATGGCGCCCCTACGACCATAATGGTCATGGGTTATACATGATAATTTTCTTTCTTCCCATCAGACAGGTTTCATAACCAAAGAGGCAAAAACAAATTAATCCTGGGTTTCCTTTCTTTCCTTTGTCTTTCCTTTGTTTTAATTTGTGAGAGATTGGGCAATTCACTTTACCAGAAAAGAAGGCTACATATGCCTGTTTGATCTTGAGAAGAAGAATATAATACACCAACAGCCAACCAACTCCTGGTGTCCAACCACTATTACTACTAAGTAATGTAACGGTACAAGTAACACTTACAGGCGCTGCAACCTTCTGCTAGTCACAAATAAGTTCACGGGTAAAGTACTCAGCTTCGTGCCTGACAGATCCCTGAACAACAGCAGACAAAGGGCAAGGTGAAATATCTTTTATTACTCGCTTCGGAAATATTCATATCGTCCATGTGTCTCAATCAGAAAAGTGAAATATGGGATTTAGAGGCTATCCAAACCAAATGCTATTTACATGAAAGAAACCTTTGGAGTGAGATATTTTAAGAAGTTCCGTTCAAAACGTATTATCGAATGCACAAAAAGTACAGATTTACGAAGTTCTACTGAGAGTCAGGAGAATGAAGTTGAAGACACCACTGCAGCTATACTTATCGTTGAAAAATATGGTGGTAAAGACACACCTGGCAATATGGCGGTAAACACACGCCTGCCCACACACCCTCTCTAAGCTGCAAAGTTCTGGCACATAGCTCTCCTTCTCTCTGTGTGTTTACCGCCATATTGCCAGGTGTGTCTTTACCACCATATTATCAACTACTGGGAGTCAAGTACATGTACAGTAAATCAATACAATGTTGAAAATCATTTAACCCGCACAAAAGGGGTGGTGGGTGTTGCCCAAAATACGAAAATGTTTTTTAACAATCATTCTGCAACTGTCCGTGGCCCGATAGGCACTAGTAATTCCTGGCTACTCTACATGTGTGAGTTGTGCATCCACCCATCCACCCATGGCGGTTTTGAGGACTATTGTATATGAGCCGTCATACTGTTGCATAGGAGCCATCCATAAGCCAGGAGGCCCAGTGTCCATGAGTGCAAAAGCGAATGTCATAAATTATTAGTGAGTGCATAGGAGTCATCCCAACACCAGCAGTCCACGAGCCAGGAACCTACAGTTTTCAAGCACCAAAATGGCCCCCATATTCCACACACGGCAGGCCAGGATATTTTAATTTCACGGTTCGGGTGAGACTCGGCTGGAAGCCGGGTTTTCCGCATCCGTAGGAACGCCACCACCCTTCAAGGATCAAGGCGCAGATGCAGCTCCTAAAGCGGTGGGAGGTGAGTAGATCAGCTCACCAGCAAGTGGTCAAAGACCGAAAATTCCATTCACTGCATCCATGTTTTCCTCGTGCCAGGATATGACGAGCATTTATTATTTAAGTAAAAGTGGGGAGGCTTCTTGCAGTTTCATAAACAGATAAGAGTAGAGCCTACACGCTCTCTTCCATTACCACTGCAATATTTCAACTCATTTCACAATAATCATTCCAACGTTTCCGCAAATTGCCTTCATAAGGTTCACAATGATGTGCAAGCTCCCAAACCAGCATTGATAAAGGCCAAACCCCCTGTCAGTAAGAGGGTGTGGGAAGCAGCCCGAAAAGAGTTCAGCTAAAAGCGCTAACATTGACTATCAGTGGAGGAGACTACAGTAAAAACAAAAACAAAACAAAAACACATTCTTCAGCGCCAAATATCATGAAAATCAGATAATACCGGTAAGCGAGTGGCGATACAAAATGCAGCAATGACCACCCAGCGTTAGTGTTTATCGTCGGAACTAAATCTCTGATCTCCACAGCCCCCCTCATTTTCCTGCAAGCTCTGTCGCCTTCTCGATCCAGGCTCAGAGGAGAGGAAGTTTGCTAACTTCAAGGATGACGTTCTGCCAATTCACAACGGACACCGACCCCGAAGCAAACCATTACCAAAGAGGAGGGCGAGGAGCTTGCAAGACTTCACAGCAACTCGAGTAATATATTCAAGCCCTCTGATAAGAGTAGAAAGCTAGTGGCAATGAAACAAACACTCTATTTGGAGAAGGCGAAGGCACTTCTGTCCGAGACCTCAATGAACTCTTTGTGTTCCCTCTGTTGACACTTCAAAATCGCTCTATTGACACTGCAAAATCGCTCAGTTGACGCTGCAAAATTGCTTATCATTTCCCTCCCTCCCTCCCTCTCTCTCTCTCTCTCTCTCTCTCTCTCTCTCTCCCTCTTTCCCCGTATCTCTCTCCCTTTTGAATTTCGCTTCCATAGAATTGGACACTATTGCCCGTTTGGCCTTGCGAAGTAAAATAAAAATCAACAACGACAACAACAATAACCGACGAGGAGACAACAGTCGTAAAAAAGCAATGAAAAATATCAATTGTGCACTCATAACCATGTATAAACAATTAAAATGAATCAATTCCAGAACGTTTTCGTGTGACCATCATCAGTGGAACATCGTCACATAGAAGGAATCACTAAAACAACCAGTTATATAGCTAGAGTAATATGAAAAGAAGCGTGAGAATGCAGCACAGCTAGCGGTTATGCATAACGCGAGTAGTGTGAACCTTTGCAGTGTATCCGAGAATGGTAGCAGTAGATGAATGTGGCAGCTGTGAGTGCGTGTGAACAAAAGCTGGTGAGTGCGTATTATTTAAAAAGTGTGAGTGCTACAACATTTTCTTTTTGCTTGCATAGAACAGGGTCACGTGTGCGAATATATACAGCTTCCAACACGTGTAACTGCTTAAAGAAACGCGTGTGACAAATAACACTAAACCAGGAATCGTCAAACAACTTACGACAATCCGGACTGGACACCAAATGCTTGTAGATGGCAGACTGAGAAAAATGGAGAAGGCGGAACCAGTAGTGGCAGGTGAAAGTACGGGCGCAGCAGTGAACACGTCAATGAGAAAGAAGCGATGGCATGAGGAGATGGAGATGGAGGATGATGATGGGGATGAACAGGATGGTCAGGAGGAAAGCAAGGGTGAGCAGGAACAGGAAGTGGAGGATGAGAGTGATACTGACTAGGAGGAGTTCGACATCGACAAGAGCAAGTCTGCCATCTACAAGCATTTGCTCTCCAGTCCGGATTGTCGTAAGTGGTTTGACGATTCCTGGTTTAGTGTTATTTGTCACGCGCGTTTCTTTAAGCAGTTGCAGGTGTTGGAAGCTGTATGTATTCGCACACGTGACCCTGTTCTATGGAAGCAAAAAGAAATGTTGTAGCACTCACACTTTTTAAATAATACGCACTCACCAGTTTTTGTTCACACGTACTCACAGCTGCCATATTCATCTACTGCTACCATTCTCAGATACACTGCAAAGGTTCACACTACACGGATTATGCATAACCGCTAGCTGTGCTGCATTCTCACGCTTCTTTTCATATTACTCTAGCTATATAACTGGTTGTTTTAGTGATTCTTACTATGTGACGATGTTCCACTGATGATGGTCAAACGAAAACGTTCTGGAATTGTTTCATTTTAATTGTTTATACATGGTTATGAGTGCACAATTGATATTTTTCATTGCAATTTAACAACAACAATGTACAAGAAAGTTGATATCACAATTACCAGGGGCGTACATAGGGCGGTTCCCGGGATGCCCTGGAACCAGTAAAAAAATTCCATGTGGGTACATGTATACAGAGAATTTGTTGATCCAGGCCCAGCGCTCACATGTGCACGGTGCAAGTGCATGTCTGGCATCCGCCTGACGCCCGATCGAGGACGGTGACTAGCCCAGGTGTGAAAGTAGTGCTGGGACACAGCGTACTGAACTGGGTTCAACAAAGTCTCTACTGTAGTTACATCGCCGGATTCCTCGATCTCAGAGTCAAATTTTCCTTTGGAGTTTGCTTTGACACAGTAATTAGTTGGTCGTGTTTTGACAATGCTTTCGCTTTGTGGAAAAGAAAAAATGAAGCGTCGACATCCAGAGGGCCAGCGCTCTATTCAGAGCTATTTTGAGCTGCAGACAAAGCGTGTAGTCAGTGCTAGTGGCGAAGGTCAAGCGATAGATGAGAATGCAGACGCACCTGACTTGCAAGCGAAGTCTGATCCAACGAGCAGCGTTGAGGAAGAAATCGTCGGCGAAGCTGTAGAGCGACCGTTGTTGGAAGCTGCTGGATCATCCAAAACTAACTTCAATGACATGGGAGTGTGTTGGACGGGATATTCTGAAAGTCGACGTCCACAGCGGAATCCAGTCCCCCGAAATTTGCTGGACACGGAAAAGATTTCCGTCATCGACAATCATTGTGCGCCACTGAAGGCGAAGGATTTCGTTGCCTGTGCGTGTCCAGACGGATGGCAAACAGCGCCACTTTCAACTATCCTTGTTAGAGGAGTTACCCTGGGTAGTCTTTTGACAGGCATGCAATGGTGGCTTCTGCTTGCCCTGTGTGATGTTTGCTCCAGATGATTCGAAACTTAGGCAGCTTTCAAGACCGCATGCAATCGTCATTTTGAACAAAACATCCATAAAACGGGGAAAAATTCTGTCCTTCAAAATCATAAATGCGTAGCAATGACATCATCGTCCAGCAGCTTGTGGATGTTAATTTCACCCAGTCTGAGGAGAATATGCAGAAACTCCGTGGGATACGAAAAACAGCACTTCAATTGTGTGGAATGTTGGTGCATCAGTTGGCATGGGAACCACTCCTGGAGGCGAGCGGCGTACGCCCCTGATTACAGAGTTGGAGAGAAAAGCAAAGCGCGCTTTAAACGAACAGTGCACGGGAATGGATCTTGAACTACTCTATCTATCTATCTATCTATCTATCTATCTATCTATCTATCTATCTATCTATCTATCTATCTACAGGGGGAAGTGGTCCTGTCCGCCGCAAAGAGGGCTCAACAGGGGCTGGGGTTCACTGGAGCTAGTACACAATGGAAGCGGTCCTCACCAAGAAAACACAACCCGTTGCTACTCCGAGTTTCTAGAGTTTTTCAATCGTCAGGCAACTTTTCTAGCTAAAGCAGGTCTGTCAGGTCCACTAAAGATATACACAACCACACAGCAAGGCGCACAGAAAGAAAGCGTGAAGGGTGACGAGGTGCTGCTAGGTGGAGGCAGTGTAAATATTGATATAAATTGGCCTTTATTGTAACAAGCGCTGAATTGAGCGCGTAAATCTGGACTTCATTAGCGCATGCCTGGCGTCAGAGGGTGCAAGGCCGTTACGGTGCGATATTGGCGTGAATCATTGACGCTCCACGGCTGACGGAGTTTTCTATACGCGTGTCATTTGCGAAGGCGCACTACGAATCTGACTGTAGTCGATCCAGCG